CCCTGCAAGCCCCACTTCACACCACCACTCATAAAGAGACCCCTGCAAGCCCCACTTCACACCACCACTCATAGAGACCCCTGCAAGCCTCACTTCACACCATCACTCATAAAGAGACCCTGCAAGCCCCACTTCACACCACCACTCATAAAGAGACCCCTGCAAGCCCCACTTCACACCACCAGTCATAAAGAGACCCTGCAAGCCCCACTTCACACCACCACTCATAAAGAGACCCCGCAAACCCCACTTCACACCACTCATAAAGAGATCCCTGCAAGCCCCAGTTCACACCACCACTCATAAAGAGACCCTGCAAGCCCCATGCCTAACTCCACGTCTAAATGGCTGCAGACAGTAATGGTGGGGGCAAAGATGAAGGACCCCTGACATGTTTGTGGTAAAAACCTAGATGCAACTGAACATGCCTGTTTTGTCTGAGAGTGTTTTATCTCAAGCTTTTATCAATAAACAGTTAGCTTTTGAACTCAAGGAAGGGTCTGTGTGTCCCCACGCTCTGGGGTCACACAACACTCTGTACGGATTAATAACACAAGTAAATTATCACTTATTTATTAAGATTCACTTGTATGTGGATAAGCATTTTGCCTGCATATGTGTAGATGCACTGAGGTCAAAAGAGGGTGCAGGATCCCTGGACTGGAGCTGGGGATGTTTGGGGGCCACCATGTGCTCCGGACTGCCGAGCCATCCCTCCAGCCCCGAGAAGAAGTTATTTTTATTCAGAACCACAAACCAGTGTCCAGATCCAGCTGTGGTCCCAGGGAAGTTCGCAAAGTGTTGGAATTTTCTTTCCTCCCTCTCCAGCTAGTTTGGGTTTGAGGAGAGGACGTGTGCTGAGTGAGGTACAAGGACAGCGAAGGCTAAATTCCAGGTGATCCCCAGCTCCGACACACGAGTGTGAACGGTGCCCATGCGGGAATTCCCGCCAGCCCTAAGAGTCTGGTTGAATTCATTTTAAGTTCTGATACCAACTGGGAAATAAATGCACAAGGATGCATTCAAAGAGTAAAGAAGATGGCCACGAAGGGATAACACAGCTGATCTGACCCAAAGACTGCTCACAGAGGGGATCGTTAGAAGTGGATTTTTTGGGGTCAACCAAATATTCTGTCAATCTTCAAACACCTGTGAGGACACCTAGCCCGGGCTGTGCCAGCCACTTCCTGTCAGGACTTGATAGACTCCACCATGACTTTATGAATAATGAATGTCCACAGAAGAAACAGAATTGGGGACTGAAGCAGTTAAAGCTCGCGGAGAATGTAGTTTGTTCTCAGCACCCATGTGCCGTGGCTCACAGCCTCCTGCAACTCCAGATTCCGAGGATCTCACACGCTCCTCTGGACTCTGCAGGCACCTGCGCTCACATGTGTGCACACCCCTAGTGTACCTGCGCTCACATGTGTGCACACCCCCAGTGTACCTGCGCTCACATGTGTGCACACCCCCAGTGTACCTGCGCTCACATGTATGCACACCCCCAGTGTACCTGCGCCCACGTGTGCACACCCCCAGTGTACCTGCGCTCAC